GGCATCACAGCTGTAAAGCTGTCTGAAGCTTCAGGGTTTGTAATAGTTTTTTTGACTTACGGGTTTCATGCCTATAGCTCTGCTGACACCACAGATGCTCTGTAGTGATCTGCTGTTCTTACAGCATCTACTGACCCAGATGCGTGTAAAAGCAGCTCTGCACAGTGCCTGACCATTAACTGAAACTCAGGCAGGTTTTTCTCCTCGTTGCCTCACATGCTGTGCGTGCTGCCATGAGAGGAACAAACAAGTAAACCTCAGGCTAAGTCTTAAAAGAGATAAAAAGTTTTGAGAGCCATGTGTGAAAGTAAGTGCTGTCTCTCCTAGCATGCCCAGTGCAGTGAGCCCTGACATACTTGGGATTTCAGAACTGTTTCCTTCCATCCTCATACACGAATTAAGAACAGGTTGGGAAGCCTTACTTGTGCTTTACTTCATTTTACAGGGTTTTTTTTCCCTGCAGCTAAAGAAGACAAAGTTGTCCCTTGTCAGATAGTCATCATCATCATCATCATCATCTTATGCACCAAAAATCGCCCTTCCCTCCCTCCTCGTTCAGTTCATTAATCACAGAGTCATACCACCTCCCTCCCACTCCTAACTTTGTAAAGCATTTGTATGAAAACGGTGGTTTCATTCAGGCAGGCAAAGCTGTTGCTTTCAGCTATTTCTTGTGAGAGGGTAACGATGTTAGTGCTGTTGAAATGGATGGGAGAGCGGTGGGGATTGAGCTTTGCTGCTGCTATCACAAGCACCTGGGATGTCTCCCCATTTTCTTTTATCTCCTCTTTTAATCTACAACTATTATCAAGGATTAGAAGCACAGCCTAATATCCTGATATTGGTTTTGGTCTGGATGCTGAAGAAGCAGTGAAGGGCCAAAGTTGCAATCTAAGCAGGTAACTTCAGAGAAACTGAAGAGCCAAAGGCATAATAGGTAAAGCAAAAGCAAAAACCAAATAATAGGCACTTATTAGCTAAAACTTAACATAACAGCAGTAAAAGTTCAAGACATTTGTGCAGTATTTAAACACAGAACCCAATGCATGCTTACAAATGCCCTCATTTGTACTCCACATGCATAACGGCGTTGATTGTACGTGAAGGTGGGAGGCTGAGCACAGAAATAGTCTCAAATATCCTGATATGTCAGACTTAATCCTTAGACAGGGCTGCTTGTTTTGTGTTTTAGACACTACACAGATCTCACAGTTGAGGAAAAACATCGTAGAAAGACTGGGCTCCTATAAAATGGTGATTTGGCCAGGAACATTCCCATTCATAATCATGTTTCCCTTATTCATGAGATACAGCCCAGGAAAATCAGTGGAGATTATAGATACCTACTTGAAGAAGGGTCTGGTATTCAAGTTATATCTTGCTTCTGTATATGTCCTAAAAACTCAAACTGCCTCCAAGTCTCACAATTTAAAAAAAAAAAAAAAAAAAAAATCTGCTAGTTACAGGTTTCCTAATTATAAAGACTTAATCCACATCATACCGGTTATTGATGGGTTTCTGATTGTTCCCTTGGTTAAATTAGCAAAGCACTTCCAGGGACACTTTCAGAGTTTCACAAACACTGATAAATACACCCAAAGTCACTGGGAGCTCTGCACATTTCAGAATATCGTATCGTTTTGGGTATCTACTTCCCCATAAACCACTGATTTCTGCACACATCAATAACATGGAAC